TTATGTCTAAGTCTAAGTCTTACTACTATTAATGATCAGGTGTGGATGCGTAATTCTAGCTTCTCTGATAACTGCAGGGCTGCAGCTGCCCCCAGCCGTGTCACAGCGTTGTAATGTGGGCAGCTCGTAACCTTGCTTTACCAGACTGACGATCAGTGGAGAGATGCAGAAGGTATAGGTGACCTATAGAGTAATAAAATCATGGCGCGTCAGTTGAACTGAACTTGCCTTTTGGGAATATGATACAAATATTAAGGAATAATATTGAGTTTATAACGAAACGGTAGGCTCATGATTCTCGTGAATTTGACAAAGAAGATGAAAACGAGACTCAACATTAACATAAATTAGCAGCATACTAATAGATACTAACTTTCTAATTGTTGTATATACAATCACAACTTTATATACCTTGTATTTGTTTATTGCTGCACTGTATAGCCCAGGATTACTGAGATTAGGCAGGGACAAGGTTACCGCCCCTTGAGCTAAACTGCGTATTGTTATAGACATGCCGCCTGCGTAAGCTTGAGGAGTTGCCACCAGAACTACGTCTTCTTGTCTCATGTTTAAGCTAGAACGAGTAGCCAATGATATAGAGCTTGTAGTTGAAACCAGATATTTATCATGTTTGCTTGTGCAAGATGGCTATAGTGCTGGCTATATACATACGCACTTTAATTTTGTTGAATTGATCGATAAATTTACCAGTTAAAGTTCTTACTCATGCATTCTTCTAAATTTCGAGTTGAATAGTTATAATTGTTTGAGTTTAAATTCATTTGCGTTACTGCTGTCTGTCATGCATAATCTTAACTAATGCACGATATTGCTACCCATCAGTGACTGTCCCTTATAATGTGTGACGTTGGGTAATGCTTAATACCAGGTAGGAATACAGAGACAAGCCACGAGTTGTTTGTGAGTCCAAGGTATGCCCTTTGGCGGGCCAGTTGTTCCGCTGGAATATAGCACGACGGCTATGTCACCGGATTCAGCACGGTTTGTTTTAGGAAATGCGTCGCCACTGTCTTCCAGCAGATCGTTAAACGGTATACACTCTTTGTCTACTATGCTGCCAAATGAAATCCGTGCCTGAAATAGCAAATAGTAAAAAACTGCGAGTAAATAAGGAGCGAAAGGTTTTTTTGGGGGGGGGGGGTAACAACAGATTTCTTAATAGTGTATGCTGTTTTATGACTGTAAAGTTTCTAGTTTGGAGTGCTATCTCAACCGAGAGACTTTTACTACGTAGTGAAAAAATCAGGCCAGCTTTTTCAAAAGGGAACGTGGTCCTTGTGCACGATATATTTATATATATATATGTATTATCTTAGTCACGTACCACGTTTACTCCACAACGCTCCACCAATTTCCTCGCAGTTGTTAGCTCGTCACTAGATACGACGAAAAACTTTAAAGTGCCACAGAACTTCGCAATTTCCAGCTTGTAAAGTATCTCGTCTGAAAGCATGCACGTACGTCTATGCGGTAGGACCGATATTGTCCAGGTGGTTTCATCACTTAATCACAATCTATCTACTAATTAGTTGTTTGATTATGAAGGTGCTATCTCATTTTAATTAACAAAATATCTGCAATATATTGCATTTTAATAACAAATTTTTGGGCGGCATTTCTCAAATTATCTGTTGCTGACCTATAGGAATCCTTAGCTTGGCATGGCCGCGAAAATGATTTATCAATGTAGTGTAAAAACAATAACCCACCTACAGAGGATCCAGGAATCGCAGACGTCAGGACGGCCCCTAGCGAGTAAACTGCCAACATCGTGATCACGTATTCTGGGCAGTTAGAACTGCACACAAACACGACGTCACCTTTCCTGAGGCCGCGCCGGGCTAGACCGCTAGCTACTCTCCTTACAGACTCCCGCAGCTCTCTGTACGACAACCTCCACTCCTTGCTAGCATCAGGTGGTCCAACACTGCGCCCAATCTAGCAATGTCACGATATAGCGAATATAACAGTGAAACACCGGCCACAGGATTGTAGCGTTCGACATTTTTACGTTTTGACTTTCTGGGGTTTGCTTGGATTGCTGGATAGCGTGTTTGCAAGATGGATATGAAACGGATAAAACAAAAAGTACCTGTATGTAATTAACAAAAAAATGAAAAAAGGAAAACATGAATGAAAGGCAGATGTAGAATGTAGGCTGTGATAGCTCAGATTTTGGAAAATTTAAGGAGAGTACCGATAGACGCACTTGGAGAACAGCACACAGCGACTTGTAACATAATAGTGAAAATAACAATTAACGACTGTATTTAGAAATTAATTAGAGAAATTCTTGCAAATTCTCCTCTTATACGCCATTCGGTTACCCATTATTCCATATTCTACCATGCACGCGTATACCTGACTTACGCGTGGACACTCGCCCACGACTAATGCAAAAACGTAATTGTAAGACCTACCACAGCTATGGAGTCCTGTGGCTTGTTCAACCAGGAATGTTGCTCAAGAAAATCATTCACCGACATTTCTGGCACATCGACATCTGGGAACTGGCTCTTTAGTATACGTCCTTCTCGTCTCTCCATCGCTATAGCTGTTTTATGTGCTGTATAATTACCCTTAAATATAAGAGATTTGCATACTCTAAGTCTCGTATTCCGTATGTGCTTTAACTGTTACTCTTTCTACGTCCTACTCGCTCACTTCCTGGCTGTCTCTCTATCTCTGTATTTATAGCTAGCTATCCATTTAGCTATTTATCTTGCGCTTTATCGCGCACACACCCTTTCGGTTTCTAGTAGGCATGCATATTAAACTACTTTTCTATGGTAAAATATTCCCGTATGACTTACCGACCTCTCAAAGAGTGAAATGTTATAGCAACTGAGCTGGCGATATCATCTTGTAAATTCACTTAATAAACTACATTGTTTTACATGCTTTTAATAAAAGCACATCACATATAATTTTTGAGTGGTGTTATTTGTTTCTAAGAATTTAGTTTAAAAGATAAAAACAACGAATTAATGAAGTTGATTTGGTTGCATACTTGAATGGTTATTCGTAAGCCTGAGCTTGTAGTTCGCTGCGCATGTTTTTACCGGTTAAATTCTTCGGAATGTTTTTCAGGAAGCGAGCACCTCCTGTTAATGTGACGTACTTTCTCGGTGTCTTCTCTGAAACAAAAAGATAGTCAATCGCGTAACATGTGTAAGAAGGTATTTTAGAACATGTATTCAATATTTTAGGAATCATACAAACGCATGGGAATATCTTTACCACGACTGTGTTGCGAAAGACGGATTAACGGACGGATGTACGAATGGACCGAAGGAGTGTTAACCAAACGGCCGGACAGATTTGTGAATAGATGTATGGATGTGTGGATGGATGGATAGACCGATGGATGGTTGGATGGATGGATCAATTGATTGATTGATTGATCGATTGCTTGATTGATGGATGAATGGATGGATGGATAGATGGATGGATGGATAAATAGCGAGAGAGAGAGAGAGAGAGGGAGACAGGGGGAGTGAAAGAGATAAAAAGATAGGAGGAACGAGATCTTTGGGTAGAATACGAACTACAGTCACCTGTTGCATAAGAGCATGAAAGTAATTAAGCGACAGAACGGTACAAAAATGACAACGAACGATATTACGGTGAATGCAGGTGATTGTTTGAGCAGACCAGTACCTTTCACAAACTCGATAAGGTCTTCTGCAGATAATGTGTCCGTTTTACGGACGACGAAAGCTCGGATTAGTTCGTATCCTTCGTTGTCTGGATCTGGGATGCCGGTAACAGCGACGTCTCCTACTCCTGGATGACTCATGAGGATGTTTTCCATTTCTGAAGGCGAGACCTGCACACATACCGCGACGCCAAATATGAATGTAATCACTATACAGACAGCGTGAAGACGCGTAATTGTTTGTTATGCGTATATTCACGTATTTACACCTCTGTTTAATCTGAGACGGGCGTGTCATTCATGAGAAGATGTTTGTTTCCTAAACAAAACAGTTTGGCTTTGTATTATCGTTGCTGCAAGCCATCGCGATCGCTGGTTCGTTGTGTTCAAGAGTAGTATATATGGTGTATAAGCGGTAAAGTCGGTTGTTGTATCTATTATGGGTATCAAGTGTGGCACTTCGGTTTGAACCTTGAACACTCGGCACAGAAAGCCTCAGCGTTCCTGCTTCCATCGTTACCACCACTGCTAATCCGCTCCTCAGTTTGGGATTTATACCTGAATCGTCGTGGATTTGTCAGGTACAATTCGGATGATATCCTTTAGTCTATCCATGTAGTATATGAAGCCATCGTCATCGTACTGCACGAGGTCTCCCGTGTGCAGCCAACCGTCGCTGTCAATGGCGCGTGCCGTCGCTTCAGGGTTGTTGATGTAGCCGCGCAGTACATTATATGGATTATGGACGCACATCTCTCCCGCTACACCAGGGGGCAGCAGCTTCTTAGTGATTGCGTCCACCACCTACGCAGATGCCATCATAATTATACTTACATAAATATATTTCCAGTTAGTATGTGTGATGTGAGTTGTAGTATGTGGTACAATTTTACTTATTACCGGATTTAGTTGTACGTGCTATTTGGTTGTACCGAATGCTATAATATCATTGGTTTGAGGTGACATCTCTATGGTATCCTTACCAAGTAGAACGGATTATGGGTCGCCAATAAATCGCAACAGCCAAAAACAAATATGATATATACCTTGATCTGTGTGTTTGCTAAAGGTTTTCCAAGAAGACATCCTCTCGTGTCGTGATCCTGATCCGTTTCCGCCGGAGCGCCTATGACTGATCCGACTTCCGACATTCCGAAAAACTCTAAATAGTTAGTTAGATAATTAGTTATATACGTGTATCTCGGGGGCTTCAGCATCAGCTTATACGGCACTCAGGGGAGTAGTCCCTCGGTGAACGGTAATGTAATTATATAAATAAAAAGCAAACTTGTCAACATCTGATGATTAGAGACCACGTTTAATTGACGGAATTTTCAATATGCACTCTTATCTCTGGAAGCTATTTATGTCTAAGTCTAAGTCTTACTACTATTAATGATCAGGTGTGGATGCGTAATTCTAGCTTCTCTGATAACTGCAGGGCTGCAGCTGCCCCCAGACGCGTCACAGCGTTGTAATGTGGGCAGCTCGTAACCTTGCTTTACCAGACTGACGATCAGTGGAGAGAGGCAGCAGGTATAGGTGACCTATAGAGTAATAAAATCATGGCGCGTCAGTTGAAATGAAATTGCATTTTGGGAATATGATACAAATACTAAGGAATAATATTGGGTTTATAACGAAACGGTATGCTCATGATTCTCGTGAATTTGACAAAGAAGATGAAAACGAGACTAACATAAATTAGCAGCATACTAATAGATACTAAATTTCTAATTGTTGTATATACAATCACAACTTCATATACCTTGTATTTGTTTATTGCTGCACTGTATTGCCCAGGATTACTGAGATTAGGCAGGGACAAGGTTACTGCCCCTTGAGCTAAACTGTGTAGCGTTAAATACATGCCGCCTCCGAAAGCTTGAGGACTTGACACCAGAACTACGTCTTCTTGTCTCATGTTTACGCTAGAACGAGTAGCCAATGATATAGAGTTCGTAGTTGAAACCAGATATCTACCATGTTTGCTTGTGCAAGATGGCTATATAGTGCTGGCTATATACATACGCACTTTAATTTCGTTGAATTGATCGATAAATTCACAAGTTAAAGTTCTTACTCATTCTTCTAAATTTCTAGTTGAATAGTTCTAATTGTTTGAGTTTAAATTCATTCGCGTTACTGCTGTCTGTCATGCAAAATCATGACTAATGCACGATATTGCTACCCATCAGTGCCCGTCCCTTATAATGTGTGACGTTGGGTAATGCTTAATACCAGGAAACAGTACAGAGGTTAGCCACGAGTTGTTTGTGAGTCCAAGGTATGCCTTTTGGCGGGCCAGTTGTTCCGCTGGAATATAGCACGACGGCTAGGTCACCGGATTCAGCACGGTTTGTTTTAGGAAATGCGTCGCCACTGTCTTCCAGCAGATCGTTAAACGGTATACACTCTTTGTCTACACTTGCCTATACTGTTATACTGTAATCCGAAAGGTTGATAAACCAGTTTGGCAGGTCACTTAAAAGTTGGACTTTGGCCATATATATGTAATGATTGACATTGTAGTCAGGTTCACTATTTTTTTTCGTTCAGAATCATGGTAGATTAGCAAACCTATACATTTTTTGAAAGGTCATAGCATGAGGAATCTGAAAAACAATGTTTGCATTTGCGGAGATACCGGCATGGCCGCCATGCTAGTCACTGCCTGATGAAGGGCAGGCCCGCCAAAAGGTAGTGCTGCATAGGTTGCGTATTCAAGGAGAGATAACTCTGCACCGGTGTCAATAGTAAAATTAACTTCCCGGCCACCTTACTTCTACGGGCAGTTGCCATGCAGCCTCTGGCTGTGCAATAGAACTCCCTGAAACTGGGTGTTGCAGGTCCTCAAGCAATGCTGCGAATGACCCCGCCGCTACTCGTTTCCCGACCTCTGCTGTCTGGCATCAAGGCCCCCAGCATTCCGAGGTCTACGAGCGCGGTAGTGGTCTCCTTCTGATCTACCGCCAGCGTCAACGGGAGAGGAAATACACGTTTCCTTCTATCCCGCTCTCTCCAGAGTCATCATCTGACTCAGCTAACTCAACGGGCGTGCCCGGAGCTGTTGCTGGTCGTGCTTCTGCACGCTCACTTCTCCTACCCGGTAACTGCAGGTTCGGAAACGTTTTCACGCCTCTTACTTCGTCAGGGGGAATGAAGGGGAATGCGTCTTCGAGAAGCGAGATTCCCTTCATCCTTGGATCCCGTAAGCTGCCGAGCTGTGGGGTGCGAGGTGGTCCTCGGCTCGGGGGTGGTGCGGCTAGCGACCTTTCCCTAGCCTTACCTGCCAGCGCCCCAGCAGTATGCTCTGCTTCGGTACTCATCGTCTTGGGAGGCACGACACCCTCTTCCTCCACAAGCGAGGTAGAACTACGGGGCAACGATGTTGCTCGCTGGGTTCCTTTTCCTCTAGCTTGCCCTGCACGGGTAGTCATTGGCATCTTGTGTCAAGACTATGGGGAGGTGTATATGCTCTCCGTTCGTATACAAAGTAAGGTATGAGTAGGGCTGATGGACAATGCCAACAAGCAAAACTCAGTGACGACACTCGCACTGCACACGAATTCTCACCTCTCTTAGCGAGCTACACTCGTAAACTCTCTCGGGGACTGTTGCGTTGCTACCTTTACAGAACACTGCTTAGGCTCCAACTCAGTCTACTGAACTAAAATCCTGGTCACGGCACCAATGCAACGATTTTACGTCTAGTTGTGATGACGAATGAAGGTTCGACCACTGAATTGTAGTGTAGGTGTCAACACAAGTAATAGCGATACGTAAAACCAGAACAAGCTGATAAAAGTCTTAGCGCCAGGAATAGGCCCGGGGCTTTTATTCGGCCTTAGTCAACAGACTAAGGTGAACTAAAAGGTGGTGCACAAAATCCCACGCAGCGTTGTCGCTGGGGTGCAGAAATATACACGATGAAATGAACAGCCAAACAGTACTAGACAACACCCGGTAGTGAGTTGCTTGCCCTGTGCAGAGGTTAACTAGATACTGGTATCCTTACGTGATCCGTGAAGATGAGGCGCTCCTGATTGTGGCCGCAATGCTGGCTTGACCCGTCTCGGTCGATCCAGATCGTATACTCAGGCGGACACTCTGGGCGGGTCACCCTACTGAGAGCAGAGCCTAGTATTTATACCACAAGCTCAGCGTGGGTAGGGCTTCCTACCTTCCCATCATGCATCACGAGAGACGGGTGATCAAGTCATGTTTCATGTCACGCACATCACATGACAAGCCACACATCACCCTACAGGTTTCCTTCATACAACCGGTGGGAATCACGTGATTGCCGTCATTGCCACCAGGGATGCTATGCATCGACCTGGGATGCTTAGACACGCGACAGGACGATAGGGATGCGGGGGTATGAGGCTATAGCAGCCGAAGTTCGTTATATATATATATATATATATATATATAAACGTATATAGTAGACATCTATGGTTACGTAATATGACTTGAATCACGCAATTCGCTTACCGCTAACGCGCGTTTATTAAATACTCTCGTGTGAATACTCTACTCTCGCGAGATTATAGTATTCTTCTCTCGCGAATGAATTCTACTCTGGCGAGATTATTCTCGCTCAGATACGAGCCCACGCTACGCGCACACGGTAAATTTTCTTTGCGACTCTAGCAATATAAAACGTTTCAAATCTAAGCTAGCTTCTCGCGAGTCGAAAATCTCGGATGCTTCGTGTATGTGCATGTATCGCCGCTCGTGTATTTTGTAGAATATGTATAAAAAGGAGTAGAGATAAATTAGTACGAAAACTAATCTACAATGAAATATATATGTTCATTTTAATTTTAAAATATATAAAAATATGTTTTCAACTGTTGAGTAATGTATAATTAATACATCTAATATCTTTTTCGTGCACAGCAGCCATTCCATAATTTTTTGATAAAATTACAGAAGCGAAAAAATAACACAAGCAATGATGATTATAGTTTATTCAAACCAAATGCGTTTAGAAAACAACGTACATATGATTTATTTATTCTTTTTACCGGTAGGTACAAGAATACGTCACGAAGTGATTACGTCACGAATTTCTAGCACCATCAAGTAGTACATTTGTGTGTTATTTGTACAAAATAAAATGTATGAAAATACAATTAGTGTTTCTGTTTACTTTTCATGCTTATATACCATCTTTATATGCCCTAATTTGCCGGTGAAAAACAGAGAGACGCCAGTATCTACTCCACCAATTTCCTCGCAGTTGTCAGCTCGTCACTAGATACGACTAAAAACTTTACAGTGCCACAGAACTTCGCAATTCCCAGCTTGTACAGTATCTCGTCTGAAAGCATGCACGTACGTCTATATATGCGGTAGGACCGATATTGCCCAGGTGGTTTCATCACTTAATCACAATCTACCTACTAATTAGTTGTATGATTATGAAGATGATATCTCATTTTAATTAACAAAATATCTGCAATATATTGCATTTTAATAACACATTTTTGGGCGGCATTTCTCAAATTATCTGTTGCTAACCTATAGGAATCCTTAGCTTGGCATGGCCGCGAAAATGATTTATCAATGTAGTGTAAGGACAATAACCCACCTACAGAGGATCCAGAAATCGCAGACGTCAGGACTGCCCCTAGCGAGTAAACTGCCAACATCGTGATCACGTACTCTGGACAGTTAGAACTGCACACAAACACGACGTCACCTTTCCTGAGGCCGCGCCGGGCCAGACCGCTAGCTACTCTCCTTACAGACTCCCGCAGCTCTCTGTACGACAACCTCCACTCCTTGCTAGCATCAGGTGGTCCAACACTGCGCCCGATCTGGCAATGTCACGATATAGCGAATATAACGGTGAAACACAGCCCACAGGATTGTAGCATTTGACATTTTTACGTTTTGAATGTCTGGGGTTTGCTTGGATTGTGGATAGCGTGTTTGCAAGATGGATATGAAAAGGATAAAACAAAAAGTACCTGTATGTAATAAATAAAAAAATGGAAAAAGGAAAACATGAATGAAAGGCAGATGTAGAATGTAGGCGGTGATAGCCAAGATTTGGAAAATCTAAGGAGAGTACCGTTAGACGCACTTGGAGAACAGCACACAGCGACTTGTAACATAATGGTAAAAATAACAATTAATGACTGCATTTAGAAAATTAGAGAAATTCTTGCCAATTCTCCTCTTATCCGCCATTCTGTTACCCATTATTGCACATTCCACCATGCACGCGTATACCTGACTTACGCGTGGACACTCGCCCACGACTAATGTAAAAACGTATTATTGTAAGACCTACCACAGCTATGGAGTCCTGTGGCTTGTTCAACCAGGAATGTTGCTCAAGGAAATCATTCACCGAGATTTCTGGCACATCGACATCTGGAAACTGGCTCTTTAGTATACGTCCTTCTTGTCTCTCCATCACTATAGCTGTTTTATGTGCTGTATAATGACCCTTAAATATAAGAGATTTGCATACTCTAAGTCTCGTATTCCGTATTAGCTCTAACTGCTACTCTTTCTACGTCCTACTCGCTCACTTCCCCGCTGTCTCTCTATCTATATATTTATAGCTAGCTATCCATTTAGCTATTTATCTTGCGCTCTATCGCGCACACACCCTTTCGGTTTCTGGTAGGCATAGATATTAAACTACTTTTCTATGGTAAAATATTCCCGTATGACTTACCGACCTCTCAAAGAGTGAAATGATATAGCAACTGAGCTGGCGAGCTATCAGAGTGTGTGTGTGTGTGTGTGTGTGTGTGTGTGTGTGTGTGTCTGTGTGTGTCCCTTGCCTATACTGTTATACTGTAATCCGAAAGGTTGATAAACCAGTCTGGCAGGTCACTTAAAAGTTGGACTTTGGCCATATATATGTAATCGTTTTAGTCAGATAATTTATCATTAGTCAGATAACCATACACCGGCACAACCATAGTTCCCCGAAGAAAATGATCCAATGGATGCAGTATATATTTTACATTTTAAGCATTTTATTCTATTTCAAATGAGAGAACCGTTGTTATTGATAAGTCTTTTTGTTACACTAGTAGATATCGTTGTGCACTATGCACTGTCAAATATCTATGGTTACGTTTATATATATATTACGTCTAGTTGTAACGACGACTGAAGGTTCGACCACTCGATTGTAGTGTAGGTGTCAACACAAGTAATGGCAACACGTAAAACCAGAACAAGCTGATAAAAGTGTTCATCAGGCTTTCATTCGGCCTTAGTCAACAGACTAAGGTGAACTAAAAGATCCAAAACAAAATCCCACGCAGCGTTGTCGCTGGGGTGCAGAAATATACACGATGAACTGAACAGCCAAACAGTACTAGATAACACCCTGTAGTGAGTTGCTTGCCCTGTGCAGAGGTTAACTAGATACTGGTATGCTTACGTGATCCGTGAAGATGAGGCGCTCCTGCTTGTGGCCGCAATGCTGGCTTGACCCGTCTCGGTCGCTGCAGATCGTATACTCGGGCGGACACTCTGGGCTGGGCACCCTACTGAGAGCAGAGCCCAGTATTTATACCACAAGCTCAGCGTGGGTAGGGCTTACCTTCCCATCATGCATCACGAAAGACGGGTGATCAAGTCATGTTTTATGTCACGCACATCACATGACAAGACACACATCACCCCACAGGTTTCCTTCATACAACCGGTGGGAATCACGTGATCGCCGTCATAGCCACCAGGGATGCTGTGCATCGACCTGGGATGCTGAGACACGTGACAGGACGATAGGGATGCGGGGATATGAGGCTATAGCAGCCGAAGTTCATTACACTCCCCCTTTCTCTCTTGAGACTCTTGCCCGCAAGAGTCATCCTTGGGGTGACAGCTAACGAACTTTCGGATGCCCTTACACCAGCAGCGCATCACTATCTGCGGGTGCTTACCGAAGTAAGGGTCTCGAGGTATCGCCATACCGAGATGCCTTACCATAATACGGCTTCATAGGAGAGATGTGGAGTCCTTTGCCACATCCTACTACTCATACTACTCAACTATGCAGTGCCCGGACAATGGATACCTCCTATATAGAGTTGGCGTGGCTCGTACGCACTATACTCCCAGGTCATCTCACTGCCGCTACACTCATAGCGTGCAAATTTCGTAACTGAGAATCCGAGGTTCGAATCCCAAGACTACTTTTCGCTACATCCTCTTTTTAACTCTATCGTGCATCAGCGGCGCTCGCACAAGTAGAAAAGCTCGCTTCGCTGATAGGTTTCTGCACCGTTTACTTGGTGAAGTGACTTTCGTGCTCAAACACCAACTTCTACGGAAACCCCTGCTGTCTACTAGAGGTCGCGAGTTTGACTCTTGTAGAGGACGGTCAGAACCGTGAAGCTTTTGCTTTTCATTTTCCGAGTGCGGCTGTTGTTCGCCGACGTTGACGATAGTAACTACCTGCATCACTGTTAGAATTTCATCCTTAACAGTGTGCTAGAGGGTGCTATCGTGATGACGTCACACCATGCTTCTCTACCACGTTCTCACTCTACCACCAACCGTCAGCTTGAACGGCTGTGGGTGAGTAAGGGAGAGCCATAGTAGCAACGACTTTCAATTTTGTGCTGTGACTGTAGGCGACAAGCTCGTATGTTGTCAACACGCGACGTCGGCACGCGACTTGACGTGAAATGACGGGTCTCCTGATAACTTGGCGGATCGTCCACTTAGTCATCCCGTGACGTAAGCAGGTCTCGCGCCACTGTATCGGACCATTCATCCCCAACATAGCAATCGGCGGCTGCTACAGGACTCTGGCTTCTGGCGAAACCACGTGTTCACCCGCGTCGACCTACTCTCTTCGCACCACGTGGGGAAGAGGACGTGGGGAGAAACGCCTGCAACCATATCTCCGACTACGATTGTAGGTGAGTAGCGTGCAAGCAGGGCTTCCAGCTTCACCTGTTTGAAGCTTTACTGCTTTACATGACGCACACACAATAAGTGACGCACACACACAGCGGTCATACGAGGTGACGACCTGGCACAGATATTCACGGCATGCACTAAGGTTTCTACGTTTAAAGCGTACAGGGAAAATTTACCTAGTATTTCTACCCATACGGTTCTAGCATAGAAATTCGGCCTGAGTGTACTACCGCCACACATGAATTCTGCACCGTATTTTTGTGCATAGGTAATGAACTAGCGGCTAGCGCTAGTACTGCTCGAATTACATAGCGCAAAATCTCCCGATTACGTGCCACTTTCAGACCCAGTATACTAAATGTGGTATGACGATAGACTAGCATCTACAAGCGTAATCCCTCGCTCTCGCTATATCTACCTGGTGTATGCAGGGAGACACGCTCAACCATGCACCCTTTTATCATCCACACAGTCGTACACTGTACAATGCATATGCATACCTTACGCGCGCTGTACTAGTGGTTGCTATATTTCTTAGAGCCAAACTCGATATCGTGCAGAGGTGGGTGGTTTGTAGAAGATGCCCTCTTCCACATCGTCGGCAGGGCACGGACGGGCACTGCCCCCACCCCTTTCGACGACCCAGCGACCCAGCGACCTGACTAACATCGCTGCCGAATAGAGGCGTGACTCTCTACCCGGATCTGCTACCTATAATGCCACTCGTAACGTCAGGAAGAAGCGTATCAGAATATCTGCACGACTCGTCTAAGAAATGCAAACCAACTAATATCACACATCTTCCCGCAGCTTGGCGGTACGTTACGTAAGTGTTAGGGTATTGTCTCGCAATACTTACTAAACATATGCTGACGTCACATCATACTGGTGAGTTACAGGCCGCACAGAATTACAACGGACCGTGGCAGGTAACCTTTGACCTGGCCTGACTACCCAAGCGTTAGCCTGAGAGGAGCAACACTCACCCGGGGCGACCTTCCTCTCAGCTTCCGGTGGCTTCTGAACAGAAATTACCAAATCGTCTAGATTTTTGCAAATTTGACCAACGTAAAAACATTTTTATCAGGTGAGAGTTTGAGGATATATTTAGTAACGTTAGTTCTTACTTTTAATGTAAAAAAATTGCAATTTTTTTTTTTACAAATTTTACCATAGAAAATTCGTAACGTAGTCCCTTTAAATAAATATTCATGATACAAGGTATGCGTACTAGGTTGATATAAACACTATATATAAATACTGTCAGATTATTCGATAGGAGAGCTTAAACGACAAAACACAGCACTAGATTAATTCTGATAACGTCTTCAGAGCCGCCAGAGGAAACGCACCGTTAGTTTTTAGATATCTTATTACCAGGAGGCCGTTGCTAAAAACATCATAAATAGTTATGGCATTATTAGTGCAAAATGTCGTAACATTTTATGTGATGCTTCTGCTATGCCCCAATATTTCTTACGGTTCAATATGACTAAACATTAGACTAAAAGTGGGTGGTCTAAAACAATTAATGTAAACAGAATATTTATTAAAGAATTGGAACGGGTGGAGTCCACGCCATTATCACCTATATGAATTAGTTATTCTGAAAGGAGTAGTTATGCTCCTTCCAAACCTTGTCATTATTCTGCACAAGAAATCTATCGGGGCGTTCCCCGCGTCCCGGTTGAGTTCTATTCCCAGTTCACACAAAAAATTATCTGGTAATTTCCGGTTGTATGATAATCAAAATGGTCCAATCCCGCGTCCCGTTTGACGTTTATTTCCAAATCTCAAAAAAATTTACCGTTCAGCGCCACTAATCTCCATATATTAACTAGTTATAGTTAGTATAATCAGTATTCCGAGCCCGAAAATGACTTCCGCCAGGTGCCGCTTGCAGCGCGCATCAAACGTCACCATTAAAGAGAATTACTCAAAAGGCTGAGCTTGAAGTTCGCTGCGCATGTTTTTGCCGACTCGATTCTTCGGAATGTTTTTCAGAAAGCGCACACCTCCTGTTAACGTGACAGACTTTCTTGGCGTCTTGTTTAAATAATAGTAAATAATATAACTAATGTTAAGACGTAGAAAACGAGACACATAACAGCTCTACACTGCACTACACATAATCATACAAGATATGGTATTCATCTTAATGGGAGAGGTTTGAGAGAGAGAGAGAGAGAGAAAGAGAGAGAGAGAGAGAGAAAGAGAAAATGAAAGACGTGGGCCTGCCGGAAAGGCGTACACGGGCCAGACTACGGCATGATGCATCGTCAGGGATCCCCTCGTCCTCGTCTACGTTGCAAGTCTTACTCACGATCCTCAACCGGCCGCACGTAACTCTGATGATATAGGCTGGTTGCCACGTCGATTCTCTCAGAGGCCCTAGTCTCTTGAAGATGTGTTCTACCGGAGGGATGACGGATGGCCTTAGCCTAGCGGACATGGCTCCGGCACACTATCTTCTACGTAAGGCTTAAGATCGTCGACGGCCACAACACTCTGCGGATCTCTTGGGCCTGTACCCAGCGAAGCGTCCCTCTCTCCTTTACCACTAGGAGCGGACCTTGCCAAGGTGTACCCAGCTTCCCGGCGGCAGGCACGTAATATCGCCACACCCAGGCGCTAGAGGGAAAGCAGAGGTACTGACACTCTTGTCGTAATTCCTCTTCTGCTTCTCCGCCGCCTAACAGCTACCCAGCTGCATACGGGCCCGCTACGATACGCTGCCATAACGACGTACGGGTTTGATCAATTTCGAGGATTTCGAGGTTTAGAAGACAACGTACATGTGATTTATTTATTCTTGTTACCGGTAGGTACTGAATTAAATATTCATGATACGAAGTATGCGTACTAGGTTGATATAATCACTATATATAAATACTGTCAGATTATTCTATAGGAGAGCATAAACGACAAAACACAGCACTAGATTAATTCTGATAACGCCTTTAGAGCCGCCACAGGAAACAACCGTTAGTTTCTAGATATCTTATCACCAGGGGGCCGTTGCTAAAAACATCATAAATAGTTATGGCATTATTAGTGCAAAATGTCGTAACATTTTATGTGATGCTTGTGCTATGCCCCAATATTTCTTACGGTTCAATATAACTAAACATTAGACTAAAAGTGGGTGGACTAAAACGATGAATGTAAACAGAATATTTATTAAGGATTGGAACGGGTGGAGTCAACTCCAAGTTTGTCAGAAAATATGCCATCTCCTCGATAATTAATATATATTTACTGTCAAAATATATTTCGTGGTGTCCACGCCATTATCACCTATATGAATTAGTCATTATGGAAAGAGTAGTTATGCTCCTTCCAACCCTTTCGGGGCGTTCCCCGCGTCCCGGTTGAGTTCTATTCCCAATTCACGAAAAAAATTATCTGGTAATTTCCGGTTGTACGGTAATCAAAATGGTCCAATCCCGCGTCCCGTTTGACGTATATTTCCGAATCTCGAAAAATTTACCGTTCAGCGCCACTAATCTCCATATATTAACTAGTTATAGTTAGTATAATCAGTATTCGGCGCCCGAAAATGACTTCCGCCAGGTGCCGCTTACAGCGCGCATCATACGTCACCATTAAAGTGAATTACTCAAAA